GGTTAAGAATCTACTTGCTCTGGAGTGCAGAGTTCGGTGCTTTTATATGTAGTCGCCAAAGTCTCCAGTAACAGAAAAAAGTCTCTAGAATGGCACTAGGCGCTTTTTTGTAATAGAAGTGCTAGAGGGGTCTAAAAAGTCACAAAATTTTGCGACAAAAGCGTTTGCAACACTGCTCTTCCCGCTGTTTGTTTTCAAATGTTTTTGCTGCTGTCTCTTTGGAACTTTCTCAACATGTGTAGCAAATGCACTGATCCAATGTGGTGGACATTAAAGGAGGCCTGTGAGACACACTTTTATGCATCCCCAAAGTCGGCCCTCGAGGGCTGCTGTCCTGCAGGTTTTAAAGGTTTCCCTGCTGCTGCACAGCTGATTTTCGCTAATTGCTGATTCACAGACTTTTGCTACAATCATCAGAATCAGCTGTGCTAAAGCAGAGAAACCTCTAAACAATGCAGGACAGTGGCCCTCAAGGACCGACTTTGGGGATGCCTGCACTTAATATTATAAGCATTCGGATGGCATTTTAACGAAAACAATTAATGTACACAATTAAGTAATAGCTGTATTAACCATACATGTAAAATGAGTTTTATGGGGCCGCTAGGAACTTGGGGCCCTAGGCAACTGCCTAGTTCGGCCATAATGAGTCTATTTTTAAAATGTAAGGAGTAGAAGAAGATAGCCAAAATTTCTACTTGGGTAAGGTAAGTATTTGTATTTTGTTACTTTGGCGCTTGTTGTTTTCCCTCAGAGTTTAAGTGCCTGTCAGGGCTTGTCTGAATCTTTCTTATACAAATAATCTGATTTTCCTAATTTGGAAAGTCAAAAATTGTTTCAGGTAATCCACAGTCTTTAAAATATTGACCACATGTCCATAGAAACAAGTGTCTATACTTTAAAGAAAGCATTTTAGAGAAATTTTTTTAGAGAAAATTTTAATTTGAGTGTCCAACATGACTCAGTCAAATGAGAATAAAAACATGTCTGACTAGTTGATCAGTCCCCCATGGTGTCTCCTCTGAGACGACATTTGCAGACTGATTAGGAAGGTTTGTCTTGACTGAATCAAAGGGAGGACTGAAAACAAACTGAATTCTTTATGCATTTGGAGCCTCTGCATTGTTGCTGACATATATTCTCATTTTAAGATGGCAGATTGTTCTCCTAACATGTTTGGCCATCTTTTGGTGTCACTTTGCAACTGAATAGAAGTGTTTTTATTTGTTTTCCCCCCCTCATATTTCTGGGTTGTTTTGCTTAAAAACATCTTGTATAACATTTTTTTACTATTGTTTAATTCTGATGAGAAATATTCTAATCAGAGACGGTGTTCTGTCAGATGAGCATACCCTCATACCCATAGCCAATACGCATGTGCAAGACGTTGGACTTGCATTTATCCTTTTATTTTGTAGGAAAATTAGACTTTAAACTAGCTAAACGGGCGTGTACCCCTTTAGTCATGTACAAAAAATAATACGCTTCAAAAAACATCAAAAAGTAAGTAATTAAATTGTTTTTTTTTTTTGTACAAAACTAAAGGGATAAGCTAAAGGGATAAATGGGTATTAACTATGTGTATGCTGGTATGACCGGGTATGCTCATCTGACAGAACAAAGGCTCAGTTCTAACGTAGATATGTTTCCAGGCGGACATGCTCTACCTGGGCCAGTTGACGTAGTCTATTCCCGTCCACCACCCTGGGTCCAAACCCCCACCCCGACCCCTTCAAGTCAGGCTCGCGGGGGTCCAGTGGCAACGGCGCTGCCTTCAACTGTGAATATAGGTAACACCTGCTTCGTCATTGCAAGTTTCAGGAGCAGGTTTCTGTCCTCGTAGTTAAGCTACACCCTGTTTGTATGTCTCTCCTTTAGTGGACAATGACCCTCACTTCATCATCCACCTGCCCCGAAGCAACATGGACGTCTGCTTCAACATCGACTCCAAACCGGGTCACATCCTCAGCCTGGTGTCCGACGCTGGAACAGGTCAAACTGAACAACGTTTAAGCAAGATTTTCTCTGCTGCTTCTTCATGGTTTTCAGGACTTACATAACCGTCTGATTTAAAATTTGTCTTCATAAATACAGCTCTTTAAACCTAAGGAATCCCATACTGCTTCCACAGGATTAGAAGTTTTAAGTAGCTGCAAGTAGAAGAACCTCAAGTCAACCCAAAATTACCTGAAGTTCATCATTCTGCAGAGATTATCCCCTTGAGGAGAACATTTCAGACTTGGCAGGCATTTGTTAGCAGGTCAAAGGTCATGAAAGTGTAATTAGAATTTAGGCTGAAAGGGAGAATGAGACCAAGGCTGATATGTTTGGTCAGAAGGTCCATGTTTGGTTTTTCTCCCCCAACATGGACTTCAGAACACCTCCTTGTGCCCCGACTGGACCACCTCTGTGGACCAGAGCAGTGGTTCTCAGGAGATTCTGTCTGCAGGTGTTAGAAGTGTCTCTACTCCAGCATCAAATGATGTAATTTCCTCCCCTGCAGCTGTAGAGGTCCACCTCAGCCATGCATGGCATGGGGTCTTGAGGAACATTGAGTCCATCTCCATGTCTGCTGAAGCTTGGTCCAAACTGGGACCGCAGCAGAACCCTCATCTTTACATCTGTACAACTTAACATGGATGATGGTACTAATCCAGGCGGTGCAATAGCCTAGTCAAATTCTGGACCACATTATGATTGAAAGGACAAAATCTTTGGAGCTGAGAAACTTCAATAAACCGCATCAAAATTGGATATAGGAGAGATTCAGAGGTCTAGGAGGAGCTTCTGAAGTTTTCTAGGGTGTACTTAGTTTTACATTCGGTTTGTCAGTGAGGTAGTGATGGGACCATGTATGCTTGATCATCTACAGAGTCCGGTCCAAATGCTTCCAGAACACATACAGATCCCTGTCCTCATTCTTCCATCTTGTCTTCAGGTGTGGTTGTTAACGGCCAGCTAATCAGCTCTAAGCAGCCTCACAGAGGCAAACTCAGCACCTACTTCGGCATCATCTCGGTCTACTACCAACCTGAAGGAGTCAGCGTGACGGTGCACACGGACCGAATCACCATCATCGCTGGCAGGACCCACCAGTCCTTCACCTGGAGTGCCACAGCTGAGATCACCCAGGCGGGGTATGTCTTTATAACCTGACTCCGCCAGATGGATTTGCTCCGCATATCCATCTGGAAACCTTCCATTTAAGTAATTTTGGGTAGGTGCGAAAATACTGGTTAGCTGATTGGCCTATGTTGGTGATAGACGGGCCAAATAAACCAATCAGATCAACGAAGCATATGACGTACTAACAGAGCGACGATGAAAACACAACCACAAGCCAGGCTACTCTTGCCGAAACCAGTCAGGAGAAGAGCAAAAACATCTTTTCCTCTGAGAAAAGCCTCCAGAGCAGTGTTTTGCTCTTCTTTCAGTGAAGAAATACTCTGTAATTCCGATAAAACTTGCTCGATAGCCACGCTAACGCTAGTTTCATCGGCTGAAGCCGCCATGTTCTTTAGACTGAACTGTCGCGCTTCTCGTTGCGTCACACCTCAACTGGCCTCAAAGCCAACGCTGATTGGACGTTCGTTTGGTGAACGGCTCCAAATTTTCTTTAACGGAGAGTCTCCAGACTGATTAGCGAGTGAAATCTTGAAAGCTCGCGAGATCAGGATGGTCTCACGAGGCTACTGTCTTTAGCTGCCTGCTCTGCTCCTCTGACTGGACACCATGTTGACTTCTGTTCTATTCCAGCGTGATCATCTCCATCGTTAAGAACTCCCATGTAAGCGTAACTATTAACAACAGCATCCAGGTGATGGTGTTGCTTCACCGTGTGTGGCGGAAACACCCTGTCAACGTGGACTTCCTGGGTATCTACATCCCTGACGACAACCAGTACTCCCCACTGGTCCATGGCCTCATAGGTAAGGTCCTCTAGACCAGGTCACATGGCTAATAAGAGACGCTTCAAACTCACAGTTGGTAGAAACTAGTGATGATATGATATGAGCCGAGGCTACGAGGCGTGTCGAGTAGTGGAGGTGGCGTTTTTGCGAAGCCTGTACCCAGGCTTGCTTCATTTCATCAAAACAGATGATGTATGAAGCCTGGTTACCCCACCATACCACGTGACCACTTCAGCAGTGGCGCCACAAGGGGGTGGCCCTTGTAGTACCATAAGTATAATTTCATGCCATTATGCACAGCCAGCGATGTAACATTAAAAATCACACAATAACCAAGATATAAGTAGCTGTTTACTAGTGATGGGTTAATGAGGCCTCTTGAAGTGTTTGGACACAGGGCCAAACTGTGTTGATACTCTCTCACAGAATACTGACACCTGCTGGACATTTAAAAACACTACAGGCAGCCTATTGGACAGACTAAACTGAATTGATTTGATGACGCAGTACACTGATATAATTTTACTTATTGTAGGCTATATCGTATTATTTCATATCTATGTTTAAATTAAAAATATCTTAGATATTTTAAGATGCAGCCAATAAATAATGTAAACATAACGTGAAAATTCTGAGGAAAATGTGAATGAGTTTGCTTGTGGACAAGGATTTTAAAAATTTTTTAACACAATAAGTACAGTACAAACAGTAAATAAACTTAGAGTGAATTTGAAATTAATTTTAATTCAACAAGAAAATTAAAATAAAAACATAACAGCTGAAACCCTCCTATTCCTTTTTAAGTCAATTGCTGCATTGTAGGTTTTTGTCCACCGTCTCTGTTTAAGTGTGTTTTTTTTTTTTTCTTAACATAGATGGCTTCCTTCATAGGTGGTTTGAGAAGGGCTTGAACAAATCGTCTATGTTAAGAAAAAAACAACTTTAAACAGAGAGGGTGGAGTCAGATTTCAGCTTTCAAAAACCTACAATGCAGCAATTGACTTAACCCCTTCCCGCTATCATTGCAACCCCATCCTCTTTACAGGGGAACAGGCCGACCAGCTGAAAAGAACAGCATTTACAAGATAATTCAGTTCAACGATACTTTATTAATTCAAATATGAGATAAACAGCAGAACTCCCAACATCCAAGGTTCCTCAGAGACGGAAGGGTCTCCGGTAGAGGTCAGTGTCCCAGCAGTTCTGATCAAAGCTCTACTGCTGCATGCCGTCATAGGAAAAGGTGAAGGTGGGCTGTGAAGTTTTCATCTCGGTGAATAGTCGCCTGGTTCCAGAACATTCCCCACAGCAGAACCGGCCTGCTTTATCAGGTTCTTGTTTTAAGTCACTGGTTCTGAGGCTCCGGGACGGAAAAATCACACAACTCAGCCTCCTGGAGAAGCTGCTCTCTGCTAAAGCTTCTTTCTTTCTTTCTTTCACAGGGCAGTTCTCCAGAGAGCCTGAGGTGAGCGTGTCCAACGTCCACCCAGGACCCAACCCGCTGAAGAAGGAGGCCACCATGGAGGTCAAGGGTCATAAGCTGCAGGTCACCAGGTACCGAATGTCTCCTCTGAACAGCAAACGCTAAACTTCCGCAGCTCCAACATCTGTGACTCTGTGTTTCAGAGGCTGGCAGAAGGACTACCGACACGACAGCAAGCGAGGCTCCAACGTGTACTGCTGGTTCATCCATAACAGCGGTAAGGGCTTCATCGACGGCCATTACAGCGACTACATCCTGCCGGGTCTGAGCAGCTTCCTGCCGATGCCCTGATGCTGACCTTCAGGCTCTGGCAGGAGAAGAACCGCCTCCACCACAAATCTACTCTATTCGCTTCTCCACAGAACACAGAGAGAAATTTACCAAATTTATTTGAACAAAATGGACATTTTCAACCATCAATATTGTCAAAAATAAAAGCAATGAAACCAAAATCTTCTGAGGCTCCCTGCTTGTTTGTGTCCAGATGTGGGAATAAACTCTGACACAGTAGAGTCTGACGAGGTTCAAAGGTCAGGCCAGTTTGGAAAAGTCTTCGTAGGCTACTTCCACTCTGTCCCCCTTGTGTGGACCCTGAGGACACAGAGACAAACATTTAGGACTCCCAGAAAAACCTGAGTAGAACGAGAACTTCTACTACTGTAGATTTTGGTTTCCTTCTAAAAATAAAGACAAATTCTAGACGGCCCGGTCAGTCCAAAGCCTGATTTAACACTAGAACTCCCACGGCCGTCATTTTGATGGTTCTCAGATTTCAAAGGGAAAGAACCTTATTTACATTAACCTTATGTTGCTCATGTTAACTGACCTTTTCCTGTTTCTATATTTCCTTAATTTTCACGTAGTATTTTTAATGAAATAAAGACTAAATATGGTTAATTTGACCTCGATCTCCAACAGTCGTCATTGTGACGTCTCTATTAGTTGCACTGCAATATCTTCTCGAGGTTGATTGACGTGTGCCGTCGCCTAGCAACCAACATCCTACCTCGAGCTCTTTGGCTAATGCGGAAAAACGGCTTTCAGAAGAATGCTAACAGCGAAACAGGCTCTAGAAATGCTTCAAAATATTGATGATAGCGATTCGTATCAGTGACCCATCAGACAATAGTGAAACTTTTGCAGGGATTAAAGCGACAAAAAATCTTGAGCCTGAACTCTTTCAACACTGGCAAGAAAATATATATATATGCGTGTGTGTATTTTCAAGCCAGGGGGATGTGGGGGCATTGGATCAGATAATGCATGAATGACTGAAGATTAAATTTGACTTTTGAAAATCCAATACCCGAAACGGCCAGAAGATGGCACTAGTGCATCTATATTTACCACATTTCACAGCAGCTTGATGACCGGGGTCTATAAGTCACGTTTGGTAGCACCGTTTTGCCACTGGATGTGCAGAAGCAAGCGCCTGGTTCACCTAACTTCCTGCACCAGCTGCTAAATGGCTCGCCATCTCGCCCCGTCTCCTCCAGCCATGCCCAGCGCCATTTATTTCTGAGAGCTTTATCTATGGTTGTGACATCTTCCCGGGAGTTCATCAACTGCATTGCTCCCACTTGGTGCAATTCCATTCTCTCTATCGTCCTTCTCTCCAAACACAAAGTTTCATTTATTTATTTTTTGACTTTTTACACATCTCTCCGTTGAATGGAGCCGTAAACGGCACAAGGTAACTATCCGTGTAGCTTTTCCTAAGACCTGCTCCCTCCTCTTCTGATTGGCTAATACCATTAGTTTCAGAGCGCTCCTTTGCTACCATTGGCTGACAAATGCAAGAGGGATTTCGATTGTCTTTTTGAAATTTATTTACTGTTAATTTATTTTGAAGTGATTTTTTTTACCCACAAGCAATCGCTACGAGCCGTAAATCCAGCCGCTGCAATACTTTAAACCCTGGAGAGCACTGCCCACACCTCAGCTGGTACACTCAGCGGCCCAAACCAGAGCCTGTGGTAGACTATAATTACAAACCAGTTGGCGTGGATGTGTCTGATCAGATGAAAGTATTCTGTAAAAGCTCCAACAGGAAGGTGGCCTGTGGCTGTACCTTACAATCCTCTGGAAAAGCAGCTATAAACGTGTTTCTTTTGTTCAGGAGCTGTTTGAACGTCACCGTTTAACGCAGAGATTTTATCCTTGAACTGGTAAAACGGTCGCGTTCCGACCACACGCACTCAGCAGGTTACCAACCCCTGTGCCGCAGAAGAGCAGCTTTGAAGAAAGAAAACATTGCAGGTATGGAGGACCAACTCTGCCATATTAAAAAATAAATACAGAAATAAATAAATGCTCAATAAATAAATAAGCATACAATTAATTTCCATCAAAAATACAATAAACAAAGAAATGTAAGTAGAAATTAAATTATACAGTGAGACATAAATGTATATAACTCTTTTAATTAGCTTCTTATTTATTTGCCTTTGCAATATTTACCTTATTTATTTCTTTATTCTTTATTTTTTAATTCTAAGTATTTATTTCTGTGCATGTTATAATATTTTTGTCTGTTTTATTCTTCCTTTGTATTTTTTTACCCAGGGCAGGCAGAAATAAACAGCGGCCAAGAAATAACTAGGGTTAAAAAAATACAAAGGAAGAATAAAACAGACAAAAATATTATAACATGCACATAAATAAATACTTAAAAAAATATGTAATTAAAAAATAAAGTTTAAGATTATAAGGAACAAAAAAATAAATAAGGTAAATATTACAAAGGCAAATAAATAAGAAGCTAATTAAAAGAGTTATATATATATATATTTATGTCTCACTGTATAATTTAATTTCTACTTACATTTATTTGCTTGTTGTATTTTTGGTGGAAATTAATTGTATGCTTATTTATTTATTGAGCATTTATTTATTTCTGTATTTATTTTTAAATATGGCAGAGTTGGTCCTCCGTACGCAGGTGATTCAGCGCTGCACAGAAAAACGCTCGTATGATGTTTGAGATAAATGTGAAAAGGTGGTCTGGGGGAAATCTATCAATTTCTGTAAATAAAATTGTAATTTCAAATTTCTAACAGTCTTATTTATTTTACTGATTTAGTTTTAGTACAAATTTAGACTACAAATAATAATATATATACAAATATATATTTGGCCTGTTTTAAGGTTTACATATCCATAAGGAGTTTATATCGCACACTAGAACCATCTCAGTTGATGACATCATGCGTTTCTTTGTCAGCCGTCAAATTGACGGCCAGTGGGAGTTTTATCAGATCAGAATGTGGGGGTTCGTAGTGTTAAAGCCTGATTGGTTGGGGCTTCAGGGTAGTGAGGAGGAGCAGAACCCACAGAGTCCAGCGTGAGCGTAGCGCTGAAGTTCTTCTCGTCGATGCCCTCCAGCAGCGCCTCGGTGTCCCGGTGCGGACCGTTCAGGATCAGGACCCGTTTCCCTGCGGGAGGTTGGATTGTTAAAGCCTGCAGACGTCGCAGGAGAGAAGCTGCTGGGTGAGAAGCTGACCTGGGGCGGGGATGACCGTCTCCAGGTGGTTCTGGTCCAGTTTCAGTTTGTCCCCGGAGTCGATCATTTTCACCACGGCGCCGTATCTGTCCCGGACCTCCTGGAGACGGGGGACATCAATGGGTTCAGTAGCGGCCGGACACGACAACACCGAGGTCTAAACCTACAGCCGTTACCATGACGACTGCCTTCTTCTTGTGGTACTTCTCGCCCAGCTTCTTGGTGATGATCTTCACCACGATGTCGGGCTGCAACCAGTAGTCGGTTCTGGACGCCCAGGACTGCTTCTTCTTCTTCTTCTCCTCCATCTGCAGACAGCGGGATCACAACCTGATCAGAACCTGATCTGAATATTCAGATGAATCCAAACAAACAATCAGAACCTCAATGATCTCCTCCAGAGCCGATTTCTTCTTCTTCTCCGATCTGGACTCGGAACCTGAGGACGTTTCTTTCCGTTTGACGGAGGATGCTGCTACCGTCAGGGCGCTCGCTCCCAGAGCCGAGCTGGAAGAGGACAGAGAGACCCGGTTAGGGACAGGAAGGACGCAACCCTGGCGGCTGTGGTGGGGGTCAGAACCTGGACTTGGACGAGCCGGCCACAGGAACGCTCAGGTTGAAAGCGACTGGAAGAGAAAGCATGAAGAGGTCAGGTTCTTCCTGAGGCCCGGTCCACAGTGAAGAGGAAAACCCACCAACCTTTTTCTTCCTCACTCTCCCGTTTGAGTTCTGTGTAAACGGGCTCGGTCTGCAGAGAAGGACAGAGACGTCAACCTCACGGCTTTAGTGCTACTCGTGCGGCCGGGCCCCGTCGGGTCAGAACTCACGTCTGGTGCCTTGCCGCCCTGGCCTCTTCGGACCTGCTCCTCGATGAATCTGGCGCTCCTCTCCTCGTCGTCCATTTCTTGCTTCTTCTTCCTTGCCTGCTCCTCCTGGCGCCGGATGGTTTCCGGGTCGCGGTCGATGTACTGGATGTACCAACCTTTGGGGGTCTCGTCTACTTTACACAAACCTGGCGATGACAGAACCGAACCTCAATGCGCCGTCCCAGAACACGCCACATTGTGGTATGAATCACTGCTGGTCTGAATTACTGGGAACACTGGCTGCCTGTGCATCTGAACCTTACCTGGAACGGAGAGACGGAGCCGCTGTTCTGTCAGACCAGCATACCAAAAGTCAATATGTAAACGCAAGACGTCAGATTTGCTTTTATCCCTTTAGTTTTGAACGAAAAATACACTTTAAACCACCTCAAACGTCAGATCGCCATACGTTTCAAAAAACACACAGAAGTAAGTAATTAAATCGTTTTTGTGCATGACTAAAGGGATACACGCCTGTTGAGATAGTTTAATTAAAGTTGTAGGGTAGCGGCTGCTGCGACTGTTGCATTTCCGAATTCTCCCGAGTGACGCACGACTTTACACAAGTGAATAAAGTGAATGTGATTGGTCGATTATCAAGGGGGCGGGATTGATTAGCATCTTGCTAACCAGTTAGCAACTTAGTGCTAGTGTATGAAGGTAGATTTGTTTCTTTATAATTCAATCAAAAAAAGGTTGCAATTAAAAAAATCTTCACTTAAATGAAAAAAGTATTTGAATGCAAAAATTTATTTGAGACTCCAAAAAATCAATTTGAACACTGCTTTTCTTTGATTGAAAATGTTTTATTTGATAGAAGTGCAGTCTTTTATTGTTTGAAGCAACTTTTTTAATTGAAGTAACCTTGTTTTTTGAATGGACCATATAATGGGTAGGACTTTTGTGTCTTTATTATTCAACCAAAAAAAAAGTTGCTTCAAACAAACAAACAACAGAATCAATAAAAAAAGAAACTTCAATGAAAAGATAACCGTTTTCAATCATAGAAAATAGTTTTTGTATGCAAATAAAATATTTGAGACTCAAAAAATTGCATTTGAACACTTTTTTTTATTGTGGAAAATGTTCTCTTTGGTTAAAAAAAAAATAAATCAAAGAAAAAACTGTGTGAATGCAAAAAAATAAAAACCCCATAAATATTTTTTTAAGTGAAAAAAAAAATGAAGTTCAAATGGTTTTATTTGAATAAAAAAATTTTTTGAAGTGCAAAAAGTTTTGAAGTTCATATTTTTTTTATTTAATAATTTTGACCCCCCCCCCCCCCCCCCCCCCCCCCAACAGATTTTAGGACTAATAAAGAATACATTTATAAACATGTTTAAACCAGAATGATTTCAAATTAAAGTATAACTTCCCTATGACTTTAAATAAAGGAATAAAATAAAACCAAATGTACTGTGGTGTGTGTTTTCATGGGGTCACAGAAAAGCATGAAATAAAAAAACAGGGCAGGGGATTCAAATATATTTAGAGATCTGCATGAAGTGACATTTCTATTCAATTAGGTTCAATTAAAATCTACATATTTTTGACTTAATTTCAGTTAAAATTACTGTTTTCTATCAAATCTGAATTAGAGCACAAGAGAAAACTGATCAATTCAGCTGTAAAACTCACCGACCTTGTGAGCAACTGCTGCATTGGTTGAACCACTAATGAAGCAACTCACCAGAATGTAAAAAAAAAAAAAAAAAAAACCTTTAGCAGAAACCTGGGATCTCAATCCCACTGAAGCTATCACCTTATTGTGTTTAAATTATTAATAAAACAGAATCTGTAAAGAAGAAAATGAAATAGATCCAAAGGATCAGTAACCACGTCTGTTCCAGCGCATGTCATCATTATATACCAGAGCTTTGGTAGAGGGGCCAGGACATCTACAGGGGCACTGGCCCCCGTTGAGCCCTGCCTAGATCCACCCATGGATAAATGGGTACTGATTAAGGGTATGCTGGTCTGACGGGGTATGGTCATCTGACAGAACAGCAGAACCTGAGGAGGTGCAGCCACGGTTACCTTCTCTGCCGAGCCACTTGGTGAAGTCGGTGAGGGTCTCCCACTGGGTGGAGTTCATGTGGATGTGCTCTCTGTGGCTGATGTATTCATTATAGACGATGTTGTTGTGGACCCTCTTGGTTCCTGGAAACCAGAGCAACAATCAGAACCAGAACTTCTCCATCTGTGGACCAGCCGTCATCTGCTACCTTCTCACCAAAGCGTCTCCTGAGCAGCTCCAAGAACTCGCTTTTGAACTCACTGTGGAGAAACACAACGATTCTCAGACTCTGTGCCCAGGAACTAGGCTGCGTTACCATGGAGATGGACTCACTTGGAGAAGAAGTCCATGAACTTGGTGGGGTTCTCCGAGGCCAGCAGAAGCTGCCTCTGGTGGGACTCGGACATGCAGTGACACTTGAAGCCATTCTGTCTCACAAACGGAAAGTTCGGGTTTATTATGCATCAAGGAGCCGCAGCGTTCCGTGAACGCACCACAGACACAATCTCACCTCATCTCGACATTGTTTCTGGCACATCTGGCAGTACCAGCGCAGCTTCTGCAGACCTTTGGACTTGATACGGTTGCTGATCGCCTTAGGGGACAAAAAATCCGCTTTTCCCATCACGACCACCTTCAAAAACGAAAAGAAACAGACTTTAGACTGCCGAAAAGAAAACAACAGCTCTACGATACAGGAAACAAGCCGCCATTAAATCTCGAAGAACCCAAGTCTCGCGATATATGAAATGCTGCGTTCACTAGCTCCGGATCTTACATTTAATTTCTATTAGCGTCGAAAACAGCAATAATAGTATCAAATTATTCAAAAGAATAAAAAAGCAATAATAATATTTCTTTTCTGATGGAAACCCCCAGGAAAAAAAAATCTGTTTTATCATTTTGGGGATAATTTATATATTGGCTTACTCCAAATCATAGGCGTTTGAGCTAGTTTACTTATTAACCCAGGACACTCATTCATCTATCCTTTGCATTGCAGCTATTTCATTTCACCCAAATGAAAAATGGAGAACAGAGAAGCAGATCATGGTTTGTCTACAGTGAAAAGAAGGACTGGGTTATTTACTTTTAGGAAACACGGGAAGGAGCAATCAGCTAAGTGAGCTTAGTGCTTGGAAAAAATCTTTCACTCCTTTAGAGACAGCATGAAAAGTTAGCTGAGTACAAAACATAGAGAGGAAAACAAGAAAAGGGAAAAGAAGAGAGGGACAAAACCTAGAACAAACAATGGATGTCTAATCTATTAACATTTCTCTATCTGTATAATGGGTCTGTTTTATCTGTTTTGTCTTCTCAATTCTGAGTGCCCCCTGCCTGTCTTTTCCTAGGGCCCCAAATTTCCTAAATCCGCCCCTGCTCACAGCCCAGCAACATTACAGCCAAAAGATCAAATTAAAAGCAAGCGCACTATAAATGGCACAAACAATCACATTAGGATTCGTCCAAATAATGATAAAAGTTTGCCCTTGTTCATTGTTGATTCAGACACTCAGCGAGCCCAAATATACAATGAACTTTATAAATTACTATTTGGTTAAATTTGGTGAAGAACAGGATGTTGCTAGACACAAAGCTAGATTAGAAAACCATCTAAAAATGTAAGACAACTGAAGAGACTTAATGTCAGTGTAAATTGGACTGTTGTTTATAAGCATTTAGTGTATCATTTATTCTTTTTTTTTCTTAATTTACTGACGCATTTCAGCATAAAATATAATGTCAATAAGTATTTCAGTGTTTGACTTTCCCACCAGCGCCCAAAGCTGTTCAGCGTTGAAGCCTATTTTACCAACATTTTTAACTGTCCCTGAAGGCAGCGTCAGTCCGTCCCTCATATCGCCGCCTCTCTTTGCGCATGCGCAGTCCTGCGTGTCTGACCTTCATCGCGGTGAAGATGTTCTCCAGGAGCAGCGCGTTGGTCTTCTCCCCACTATGGTAAACTCCTTATACCCCATAAACCATTGAATCCTCCCCGCTGTGTGAGCAGCTAATGCGGACATGAGACCGGAGTCAGTCCGGCTGTCTGAGCGCTGAACGCGGAGTTATTGAGCGGAAGGACGCGCTAACGAGCAGGCCGCAGCTAATGAATGACAGCAGCCTGCTTCCATGCTAATGCTAACAGAGCTCTGAGGTTTCAAAGCTAAACGGCGACCTAAATCACTGTTAAGACCAGCTAGTGTTTATTGTGATGTTCTCAATGCTAACAGTGCTAACAGTAACCTTCTCCTGCTAATTGTTTCCACAGTGGGCAGGTCAGGAACATGGCTACCCTGAAGGACAGTAAGTAGCCTCAGCGCAGCAAAGCGCCTCTATTTCTTATTAAATCCGTTAACTTGTTTAGACAGACTTAACTGGTCTGTACCGGTTATTGAAATGTCCATAATGTTTTATAAATGAAAGTGCATATATCTACCGCTGCTTCTGGGGTTAGTATAGATCTATAGAAAGCAGATATTCCTCCTTTTTCATGTTGAAGCCATTTTTTTCCCGTTCAACGTGTTAAATGCATTAAATCATGTTTCAAATAGTTTCTGCTTGGAGGTTTTACTAAAGATGGAAAAAAAGTTTTCTCTGTGAAGGTTTGATTGAGTTACATTAATTGCTGCAAAACCTAAGTAGTAGCTGTGCTGCTTATTATTATTATTATTATTATTATAAGTAAATCACTTTACTTCACCAGATCATCCAGTCAGATTGATTTAAAGTTTTCTATCTAAGGAAAACCAGTTGATTGCATCAACTTGCAATCCCTCACACTAAGGATGCTTGTAGCGACAGTGGAGAGGAAAAACCCTTTTAACAGGAAGAAATCTCCAGCAGAACCAGGCTCAGTGTGAGCGGCCATCTGCTGAGGCCGACTGGGGTTAAAGGAGACAGAAGCAGACATAGAAAAAGAAGCATAGATACAAAAGGCATCTGTTAAAGGCGGCCCCGTACAGGGAACAGCCAAGCAGATGAGATCTGAGCCAGCTCCCATGTCAGAGGATGAAGAGAGCACATCCAGTTAGTCACAGTCAGAGAAACAGGACTACACTGGAAAACAGGCCGATCTCCAACATCTATAAGCAAGGGTGTTGATGGCAGCAGCACAGCTGATATTTCTCTCCAGGATGGAGTCACAGCCAAACAGGAACAGACCAGATGAAGCTACTATGAGAAAAAGCAGAGAGAGCAGAACGTTAGAGATTGAACTAACAGATTATGCAGAGTGGGAGAATAGAGATAGAATGAAGCAGAATGATGAAAAAGGGGTCCCTATGTCCTCCAGCAGTCTAAGCCTATAGCAGCATAACTATAGAGATAGCTCAGGATAACCTGAGCCACTCTAACTATAAGCTTTATCAAAAAGGAAAGTTTTAAGCCTAGCCTTAAAAGTAGACAGGGTGTCTGCCTCACGGACTAAAACTGGTAGTTGGTTCCACAGGAGAGGAGCCTGATAACTAAAAGATCTGCCTCCCATTCTACTTTTAGAAATTCTAGGAACCACTAGTAAACCTGCAGATTGAGAGCGAAGTGCTCTGTTAGGAACATAAGGAACAATCAGATCTCTGATATAAGATGGAGCTTGGCCATTTAAGGCTTTATATGTGAGAAGGAGGATTTTAAATTCTATTCTAGATTTAAAAGGAAGCCAATGAAGAGAAGCCAGGATAGGAGAGATATGATCTGTTTTTAAAACCTCTAATCTCTTTCCAGTCACCATTCGGCTGAAGTCCATCAAGAACATCCAGAAAATCACCAAGTCCATGAAGATGGTGGCCGCTGCTAAATACGCTCGCGCTGAGAGGCAGCTGAAGCCGGCCCGAGTCTACGGCACCGGCGCTCTCGGTACGTCTGCTTTTAACCTCTGTTGAACCCAAACCGGTTCTGATTGATGCAGAACTTGGATCTGACCCCCCCCCCTTCCAGCTCTGTATGAGAAGGCCGACATCAAGGCCCCCGAGGAGAAGGCCACCAAGCATCTGATTGTGGGCGTCACTTCGGACCGCGGGCTCTGTGGTGCCATTCACTCTGGCGTGGCCAAGACCATCAAGAACGAGATCGCCGCCCTCAGCGGCGCCGGGAAGGAGGTGATGGTGATCAATGTGGGAGACAAGCTGAGGGGCCTGCTGTACAGGTAGGAGGAGCTCAGAGCGTTGGTTCTGTTGGATTTAGAGTCCGGTTGGTTTCGGTTCTATTGGGAACATTCTCTCTGTCGCCCATCAGAACCCACGGGAAGCACATCCTGCTGAACTGCAAGGAGGTCGGCCGCAAGCCGCCCAGCTTCGGGGACGCCTCCATCATCGCCGCCGAGCTGCTGAACTCTGGATACGAGTTCGACCAGGGCTCCATCATCTTCAACAGATTCAGGTACCGTGCCGTTTAAGGTCCGATTCTGCAGAGTGACCCGGCTCCAGGTGTAAACAGAACTTGTTCTCCTCACGCAGGTCCGTTATCTCCTATAAGACGGACCATAAGCCGGTGTTTTCCATCGACACGGTGGCGTCCTCAGGTACCAGCTGACGTTCTACTGATCCCATGGAACCCTGACGACCAGAGGTTCTGATTCTGTTGCTTTTCCTGACAGAGAACATGGGGATCTACGATGACATCGACGCCGACGTTCTGAGGAACTACCAGGAGTTTGCTTTGGTGAACGTCCTCTACCTGGCCCTCAAGGAGTCGTCCACCAGCGAGCAGAGCGCCAGGATGACGGCCATGGACAACGCCAGCAAGAACGCCTGTAAGAACCAGTGTAGATTTACCTGCGCTGTTCGCTCCAAAGGATTGAACTGAGGCCTTAGTCATCTATCCTGTGGAGGAGCTTTAGGAGGTCAGGGTGAAAGGTCAGCTTCAGCAGGCGGAAAATAATCACCAAACCTTTAAACTAGACCATTATGTTCTAATACAGCGGTCTGCTACCTGCAGCTCCAGAGCCACACTATCTGCAACTGCTCTGAGAAGTGGTTTCAAATAATATCAAGAACTAAATAATGTACTAAAAGAACTACCGTAATATTCAGACTATAAGCCGCAGGTTTTTTATGTTTAATTACCATATTAGGGCTGCAACAACGAATCGATAAAATCGATAAAAATCGACTTTTAAAAGCGTTGGCAACGAATTTCATCATCGATTAGTTGTGTCGCGCGATTATTGCGTCATCCGCCGCGCCGTCATCACTGCCTCTTGACTGAAAGAGGAAGGAAAAAAATATGGCAGAGCGAGTCAGCGCTGCAGGTGCAGTGTTGCCTACTCAGCGACTTTTCAGACCCCTCCAGCGACTATTTTTCAAAAAGGCGACTAGCGACAAATCTGGCGACTTTTTTCGGTTTCACTGGCGGCTTTTGGAGACTCTTACGTGAAAGCATGCATCGTTCCTACTCTGCCGTGGGGCGCCTCCCCCATCCCAACCGCGTTTTCCCGCAGGAGTCCCTCTCAGTCAGAGCCTCAGCGTCCAGACTGCAAATGAAGCGTGCAAGCGCCGGGATTGACGGCGCAAATTGATCACAATAATTAAAATAGCCTGCGCTTTGTAAAGCGAAAAAAGTGATAACATGCAACTTTTTTCAAAAGAAATTAACATGGCACGGAACCACCATGTTTGTTTGGTTTTAAAGTGGGGAAACGTAACGTTAGTTTCTCAGGTAGCTCATCTGATGCTTTCCTTACCTTGTTAGTAGGTTACAGACAGTGAGAAGGTTGGCTACTTATTTTACTTTTA